TCCTCTCCCACCCGCGCCGCACCCGCACCACCCCGTCTCCCTCCACCCGCGACGAGTCCCGAACCCTAGCCATGAGCTCCTCCTCGTCCACCGTTTCCAACCCGTTCGCCGGTCCCGATGTCACCCTCGTCCGCGACCTCAACATCCATGAGCGTGTTCCGGTCAAGCTTGATCACACCACCGCGTCCTACTCTGCTTGGAAGCGGTATTTTTCGCTTGTGTTCCGTGAGTACCTCCTGCACGGCCACGTGGACGACACCGTGGACTCGGCACTCATGATCAACGATGAGGAGTGGATGATCCTCGACGCCACCATCATCCGCTGGTTCTACCTCACCATCTCCAACGACCTCTTCCACACCGTGGTGGACGACGAGGACGACGCCTATGCGGTCTGGACCAAGCTCAACGGCCTCTTCACCGACAATCGGCTGCAGCGCAAGGTCCTGCTCTATGGTGAGTTTTACGGGTGCCAGCAAGTTGACTCATCCATCTATGATTTTTGCATGCGCCTTAAGAAGCTCGCCGATGAGCTCCGTGATCTCGGGGAAAAGATCGGCGATGAGCTCCTCATCAGCACCCTCTCCGGCGGCCTCAACGAGGACTTCGGGAACGCCGCCTCCAACCTCACCCTCATCCCGGAGCCCACCTTCGCCAAGGTGGTCGCGTACCTCAAGTTGGAGGAGCGCCGGATGCGGGTGGCGCGGACTCGCGTGACCCACACCACCCTCATCGCAGGCACCCGCGGGGGTTCGGCCCCGCCACCGCCGCGCCCGACGCCGCCACAGTCGGTGGCGCCCGCCTTCCCGCCCATACCGGCCGTCCCCTTCCCGCCGCCCCAGCCGGCGGCCAACGGGAGGGGGGGTCGTCGTGGCGGCCGCAAGCAGGGGGGCGCAGGTGCTCAGGGAGGAGCGCCCCGCCCACCGTAGCAGGCTTCTCAGCCGGTCCCGTGGTACGCCGGCCTACTCCATGCCGGTTAGCCGGGCCCCTGCCCCGGGCATTCTCGGCACCCGGCCTTAGCCACACTAGGCGTACTACACCGCGCCGCAGCCCTACGCGGCGCCCTATGGTCAGCAGCCGCCGCCAGGTGGGCCGCCGCTGCTGCCCCTGACGGCCGCGCCGCCTCTCCGCCGACACCGTGGGACCCGGCCCTCCTGGAGGCTCTCCACAACGCTCCTTACCCGTCCAGCTACACCGGCGGCGGCGATTGGTACATGGACAGTGGCGCCACCGCTCATATGGCGGCATACCCCGGTAACCTCCACACCGCCCATCCTGTCCACACCTCCAACCGCATCACCGTCGGTGACGGCTCTTCCCTTCCTATCACTCATATTGGTCATACATATTTTCGGTCTAACTCCACTCCTATATCCATGTCTAATATTCTAGTTTCTCCTGAACTTATTAAAAATCTTGTTTCTGTTCGTTCTCTTACACGTGAAAATCCGGTTACCGTTGAATTTGACGAATGTGGTTTTTCTGTTAAGGACGCTCGCACGCGGATGGTGCTCCACCGATGTGACAGCCCCGACGAGCTCTACCCGGTTCACTCCGCCACCTCCACTACTTACGCCGCCCATGTCGCTCTCGCCACTGGAGTGGATCTTTGGCATGCTCGCTTGGGTCATCCTAATCCGGCGACCCTTCGCCACATACTTCGGAGTTTTTGTTTCACGTGTAATAAGAACGAGGATCACTCGTGTCATGCATGTCGCCTCGGCAAACATGCTCGTCTTACGTTTAGGGCTTCTTCTTTTGTTGCATCGTACCCGTTTGAGTTAATTCATAGTGATGTTTGGACATCTCCTGTTGCCAGTAATACGGGCTTTCTTTATTATCTTGTCATACTTGACAATTTTTCGCATTATGTGTGGACCTTCCCGTTGCGCCGCAAGTCGGATGTTGTATACACTCTCGCCGCTTTCTATTCTTATGTTCTCATGCAGTTTGGTCGTCCCATTCTTGCGTTGCAGACAGATAACGGGAAGGAGTTTGACAACCTCGCAGTCCGTAATCTTCTCACCACACATGGCATGATTTTTCGACTCACTTGCCCGTACACCTCGCAGCAAAACGGTCGTGCTGAGCGCATCCTTCGCACTCTCAATGACTGTGTTAGGACTCTTCTCTTTCATGCCAATGTGCCTCCGCGCTTTTGGCCTGACGCTCTCGCCACCGCTTCTCTCCTCATCAACATCCGCCCATGTCGTACTCGCGGGAACTTTACACCTCATCATCTCCTCTTCGGTGCACCGCCCTCTTATGATGGGCTTCGCATCTTTGGCTGCCTTTGTACCCTAGCATCACCGCTACTGCACCTCATAAGCTTGCACCCCACTCCGTCACCTGCATCTTTCTCAGCTACCCACCTAACGCCAAGGGCTATCGCTGCTATGATCCCGTCTCCCATCGGGTTTTCACCTCCCGACACGTTTACTTTGATGAGATGGTGTTTCCATTTCAGCAGCAGGTACCCCTTGTCGTCTCGTCACCGCCGGCCACCAGCGGCTCTTCGACGACTTTAGGCGGACGGTCCCGCCTGGCCCGTGGACCGCCTCCGGGCTTTGGCGGTCCTCGCGCCCTCACGCCGGTGCCCGCCCCCTCGGCCTCCTCGGCCGGCTTTGACGGTGCAGCCGTCGCCCCACCTTCACCCGCCGCCCCCGACTCAGGCGCCGCGGGATCGGACGCTGCAGGTTCGGCCGCCTCTTCCGCGGCCTCGACGCCAGCCACCTCGCCGGCCCTGATGCCGGCCCCCTCGCCAGCTACCTAGCCGGCCCCGACGCCGGCCCTTCGCTGGCCCCGACGCTGGCTACCTCGCCGGCCCTGACGTCGGCCGCTTCGTCGGCCCCGACGCCGGCCGCCTCGACGGTGGCTCCGACGGCACCGCCCGGCCCAGTCACCCGCGCTCGTACCGGCATTCATCATTCGAGCCTCCGGTACTCGAGTGACGAGTACGTCCTCGCCGCTTCCGCCACGGAGCCGTCTCCCATTCCCGCATCCGCTCGCGCTGCCCTCCGTGATCCTCACTGGCTTGCGGCGATGCAGGAAGAGTTCGATGCTCTTCAACGGAACCGCACTTGGACCCTGGTTCCCCAGCCTCCTCGCGCCAACGTCATCAGCGGCAAGTGGGTCTTTCGCCATAAGACCCGCTCGGATGGTACTCTCGAGCGCTACAAGGCTCGCTGGGTGGTCCGCGGTTTCCGCCAGCGCGCTGGAGTGGACTTCACTGAGACGTTTGCCCCGGTTGTCAAACCGGGCACGATCTGCACCGTCCTACAGCTCGCCGTATCCCGCGGCTGGCCTGTACACCATATGGATGTCTCCAACGCCTTTCTCCATGGCCATCTTGAGGAGCAGGTGTATTGTGAGCAACCCACCGGTTTCGTCGACGCCTCACTTCCCGGCCATGTGTGTTTGCTGTCCCGCTCCCTTTACGGGCTCAAGCAGGCACCCCGCGCCTGGTACCAGCGGATCGCCGGGTTTCTTCAGACACTGGGCTTCAGTGTTACTCGCTCGGACGCCTCACTGTTTGTCTATCGCCACGGTGACACGACTGCATATTTGCTGCTTTACGTCGATGACATCATCCTGACAGCCTCCTCCGCAGCTGTTCTTCAGTAGATTACTCTCCGGCTGCGTGACGAGTTTGCTATCAAGGACCTGGGTACTCTACATTATTTCCTTGGCATTGAGGTCGTTCGGCGTCCGGACGGTTTCTTTCTTCATCAGCAGAAGTATGCACATGAGCTTCTTGAGCGTGCTGGCATGCTCAACTGTCACCCTATTGCTACTCCTATTGACACGAAGGCCAAGGTCTCTGCTCTTGAGGGATCGCCTGCGTCGGATGCTCCTTTCTACCGGTCTATTGTCGGCGCTCTACAGTATTTGACTCTCACCAGACCGGATCTTCAGTATGTTGTTCAGCAGGTGTGTCTCCACATGCACGCCCCTCGTGACTCTCATTGGACTCTCGTGAAGTGAATCCTTCGCTACATCCGCGGCACGATGGCCCTCGGGTTGACACTCACGGCGTCTACTTCTCTGGAGATGGTGGCCTACTCCGATGCAGACTAGGCTGGCTGCCCTGATACTTGTCAGTCCACCTCTGGCTACTGCGTCTACCTCGGTCCTTCACTCGTCTCGTGGTCGTCCAAGCGATAACCCATGGTTACACGCTCCAGCGCGGAGGCTAAGTACCGAGTTGTGTCCAATGCTGTCACCGAGTGCACCTGGCTACGACAGCTACTACAGGAGTTGCATCACGACGTCTCCCAGGCTACGGTTGTCTACTGTAACAACGTTTCTGCGGTGTACCTCTCCGCCAACCCGGTTCATCATCGCCGGACTAAACACATCGAGCTGGACATTCACTTTGTGCATGAGTAGGTGGCTCTTGGACGTATGCGGGTTCTCCATGTGCCGACCGCTCAGCAGTTCGCCGATGTGATGACGAAGGGACTGCCAACTTCTACCTTCGAGGACTTCCGTTCCAGTCTTTGCGTCACTGGCGCCGCTTCGACTGCGGGGGGTGTTGAGTATATTGTGTACGTGTATATTTGTGTGTAGGGCCCACCTCCTATTTCCTTTGTATAGTTGAGGTTGTGGCCCACCTTTATACTTATATATACATGCCTGGTGCACCGATCAATACATCGAGATTGCACAGCCCATATCTTGTCCTTCTACACGAACGACACGGCCAGCACGCCGACGTCTGAGATGAAAATCTGGGCGCGCTCCCGGTCGTTGTAGATCGGGCTGTAGGGGTCGAAATGGCAGGCGAAGCGCGGGTACGGGCGGCGCCAGGTGTTGAGCGACAGGTACATATACCACCCAAGGGTGAGCTGCACGACGATGAGCACCACATGGACGACGGGGTTGTCGTGGATATAGGGGGTGTACCACGGCAGCGCCTCTTTCGGCCTTGGGACGAACACCTCGTCGCGCTCCAGCGACCCGGTGTTGGAGTGGTGGCGGCGGTGGCTGTGCTTCCACGAGAAGTAGGGGACGAGCAGCCATGAGTGGAGCACCAGGCCGATGATATCGTCGAGCAGCGGGTAGTCAGAGAAGGTGTGGTGGCCGCACTCATGCGCGATCACCCAGACGCCGAACATGATGCAGCCCTGCGCGATCCAGTAGAGCGGCCAGGCGCCCAGCTGAAGCATGCCTGGGAGGGCTGGGATCCAGACCAGCGCGGCGTACAGGAGCGCCGCGACGATGACGAGGTCATGGACCAAGTAGGAGGAGGACTTGACCAGGGAGCGCTGGAAGCAGTGAGGCGGGATTGCCATCTTGATCTGGCCCAGCGTAAACGGCGGCTTGTCCATCGGTGAGCGCTGGAAGGCCGCGCCGGCGCCCGTGCGGCCGAGCAGTTCCTGCTTCTCCCGCTCCTTCTCCGCCATCCTGCCTCCGGCACCCATGATGCTGCTGACAACAACCACCACCACTGGTGATCAGTCAGTGTCTATGAGGGCATATATATATATATATATATATATATATATATATATATATATATATATATATATATCATTCATTTCAAGAACGATGATATTATGGGATGGAGGGAGTATGAATGAGGCTGCGCTATATCTGTCTTGCCAGAAAAATAAGGAGTGTCTGTTTGACACTCAACAGGAATTCAATTGAGCTTCAGTCAAAGTTGCACCACAGACATTGTCAAAATAAAGAGTATGTTTGACGGGACCGGCTATAGCCGAGAAGACTGAATTTAATTTTAGGTTCAGTCACTTTTTTTCTGTACCACCCCACGTATTCATCTCAAAGCAAGCATATAAACAAGAATTAATTAAAGTGGTTGAAGGCGAACCAACCTGTGGTTGGATAGTTAGAGGGACTGTGGTATCCCCAGCCCACCAGGGTTCAAATCTTGGTGCTCGCATTTATTTCTGGATTTATTTCAGAATTTCCGGCGATGCGCTTTCAGTGGGAGGAGACGTTCCCGTCGACGACGAGGCGCTTACGGTGACTTCGTAAATCTCAAAATGATATGCCGGCTCAGTCTTTCGAAGGTGCCCATAGGGGTAGGGTGTGCGTATGTGCGTTCATAGGGGTGAGTGTATGCGCGTGTATATGAGCGCTTGTGTCTGTACTGATGTTCAAAAAAATAAAAAAAATAAAGTGGCTAAAGCTAGCCCACATCAGATGCGTTTCACATTGCACGTGTACACACATAAGCTTTGGATTTTCTTTTTTCTCCTTTTTATTGTTGCATCTGTTGAGAAAATACGTGGAGATGTCTTAGAACTATGATGGTCAATTTCACTTTCAGAAATATCTCGCCCCCGGTCCTTGATAAGTCTCGTATCTATAATTTTTTATTACTTCATGCTACTATATTATCTGTTTTGGATGTCTTATATGTGTTAATATGTTATTTTATATTATTTTCGGAACTAACTTATTAACCAGAGCCCAGTGTCAGTTTTTGTTTTTTCTTGTTTTTAAATTTTACAGAAAAATACCAAACGGAGTTCAAACAGAATAAAACTTTACGATGATTTTTTTGGACCAGAAGACACCTAAGTGACTTGGAGAGAGGGTCAGAAGAGTCCCAAGGGCGCGCCCGGGGGGGCGCCCTGAGGGCTTGTGGGCCCCTCGGGTGTCCTCCAACCCTAATTTCAGCTCTAAAAATTTCCAAATATTCCCCAAACATTAGAAGTATCCACGAAAATACCTTTCCGCCACCGTAAGCCTCTGTTCCCGTGAGATCCCATCTTGGGGACTTTTCCGGCACCCTGCCGGAGGGGGATTCACGGAGGGCCTCTACATCAACCTTGCTGCCCTTCCGATCAAGCGTGAGTAGTTTACCACAGACCTACGGGTCCATAGCTAGTAGCTACATGGTTTCTTCTCTCTCTTTGCTCTTCAATACAATGTCCTCCTCGATGTTCTTGGAGATCTACCCGATGTAATACCTTTTTGCGGTGTGTTTGTCGATATCCGATGAATTGTGGATTTTTGATCAGTTTATCTATGAATATTATTTGAGTCTTCTCTGAACTTTTTTATACGTGATTAAGATATCTTTGTATTTCTCTTCGAACTATCGGTTTGGTTTGGCTAACTAGATTGGTTTTTCTTAGTGCTTAGCTTTGGGTTCAATCTTGCGGTGTCCTCAACCAGTGACAGAAGGGATAGCGAGGCATGTATTGTATTGTTGCCATCAAGGATAAAAAGATGAGATTTATGTTGTATTCCTTCAGTTTTTCCCTCTACATCATGTCATCTTACTTAAAGTGTTACTCTGTTCTTTTGAACTTAGTACTCTAGATGCATGCTGAATAGCGGTCGATGTGTACAGTAATAATAGTAGATGCAGAATCATTTCGGTCTACTTGTCACGGACGTGATGCCTATATTCATGATCATTGTCTTAGATATCGTGATAACTATGTGCTTTTCTATCAATTGCTCAACAGTAATTTGTTTACCCACGTATGTTTTCTTTCAAGAGAGAAGTCTCTAGTGAAACCTATGGCCCCTGGGTCTATTTTTCATCATATATTTTCAGATCTATAAACCAAATAACCCAAAAATACCTTGTTGTAGTTTATTTATATTTACTTTAGTTTGCTCTTTTATTTATCTTTTAAACCTATATCTATCATATCTCACTCTTGTTCGTGGCCGTGAAGGGATTGACAACCTCTTTTTCGCGTTGTGTGCAAGTGTTTGTTAATTTGTGCAGGTGCAAATATTGGGGACTTGCTTGTGCCTCCTACTGGATTGATACCTTGGTTCTTAACTGAGTGAAATACTTATCTCTACTTTGTTGTATCACCCTTTCCTCTTCAAGGGAAAAATCAACGCAAGCTTAAGAAGTAACAGGAAGAATTTTTGGCGCCATTGCCGGGGAGGTTCTACATCAAGCTTACCAAGTACCCATCATAAAATCTCATCTCTTGCACTTATATTATTTGCCATTTGCCTCTCGTTTTCCTCTCCCTCACTTCTAAAATGTTTTCAGAAAAACACAAAAATATTTGCCTTTTTATTCGCCCTTCTTTCGTTCGTCTTTTCGTTTGCTTGTGTGCTAGATTGCTTGCTTTGTCACGATGTCACAAGAAAATATCAAATTATGTGATTTTTCCAACACTAATAATAGTGATTTTAGTAGTACTCCATGGCTCCCGCCACTAGTGCGGAATCTTATGAAATTAATGCCGCTTTGTTGAATATTGTTTTGAAAGATCAATTTTCCGGTTTTCCTAGTGAAGATGTCGCATCTCATCTAAATACTTTTGTTGAGTTGTGTGATATGCAAAAGAAAAAAGATGTGGATAATGATATTGTTAAATTTAAGCTATTTCCATTCTCACTACGAGATCGTGCTAAAACTTGGTTTTCATCTTTGCCTAAAAATAGTATTGATTCATGGAATAAGTGTAAAGATGCTTTTATTTCCAAGTATTTTCCTCCCGCTAAGATCATCTCCCCTAGGAACGATATAATGAATTCTAAGCAACTTGATCATGAACATGTTGCACAATCATGGGAGAGGATGAAATTGATGATAAGAAGTTTCCCTACTCATGGTTTAAGTTTATGGATGATCATACAAAAAATTTAAGCCGGATTGAATTTTGCATCTAGAAATCTTTTAGATTCCGCCGCGGGAGGTACTTTTATAGAAATTACAGTAGGAGAAGCTACTAAACTCCTAGATAATATTATGGCAAATTACTCTCAATGGTATACTGAAAGATCTTTCAATAGTAAAAAAGTGCATGCAATTGAAGAAATTAATACTTTGAGTGGAAAGATGGATAAACTTATTAAATTGTTTGCTAGTAAGAGTGCTCTTATTGATCCTAATGATATGCCTTTGTCCACTTTGATTGAGAATAATAATGAATCTATGGATATGAATTTTGTTGGTAGGAACAATTTTGGTAATAACGCATATAGAGGTAATTTCAACCCTAGGATGTTTCCTAGTAATTCCTCTAATAATTATGGTAATTCCTACAACAATTCTTATGGAAATTATAATAAAATACCTACTGATATTGAGAATAATATTAAATATTTCATTAATTCTTAAAAGATTTTCAGTGTTATGGTAGAAGAAAAATTGCTTAAGATTGATGATTTGGCTAGGAACGTTGATAAGATTTCTCTTGAGATTGATTATTTAAAAATTAGATCTAAGCCACCCAAGATTGATATTAATGAGTCTCTAAAATCTATTAGAATTTCTATGGATAAATGTAAAGAAAGAACCGCTAGGATGCGTGCTAAGCGAGATTGGTTTGTAAAAGCGTGTTCTTCTATTTCTTGTGATAATAATGATGAAGATCTTAAAGTAATTGGTGTGACTCCTATTGAATCTTTGTTTGATAATATAAATCTTGATAAAATGGGACTAGTGATGAGTCAACTTTAGCTAGAAGGCATCCTAATAATTTGGAGTTTAAAGATCTTAAAGAAAAATTGACAAACGTGGGATTGGAGAGGTCAAAACTTTAGGTAGCAATGAACCCACTCTTTTGGATTTCAAGGACTTTAATTATGATGATTGTTCTTTGATAGATTGTATTTCCTTGTTTAAATCCATGTTAAATGCACCTCATGCTTATAATCAAAATAAAGCTTTTACTGAACATATCATTGATGCTATGGTGAAATCTTTTGAAGAAAAACTTGAGTTGGAAGTTTCTATCCCTAGAAAGCTTTATGATGAGTGGGAACTTACTATTGAGATTAACATTAAAGATTACGAGTGCAATGATTTGTGTGATTTGGATGCTAGCGTTTCCATGATTTCAAAAACTTTATGTGATGTGCTAGGTTTCCATAAATTGGATGATTGTTCTTTGAATTTGCATCTAGAGGATTCCACTATTAAGAAACCTACGTGAAGGATTAATGATGTTCTTATTGTTGTAAATAGGAAGTATGTGCCCGTAGATTTTATTGTGCTTGATATAGATTGCAATCCTACATGTCCTATTATTCTTGGTAAACCTTTCCTTAGAACGATTGGTGCAATTATTGATATGAAAGAAGGAAACATTAGATTTCAATTTCCGTTAAGGAAGGACATGGAACACTTCCCAAGAAAGAAAATTAAGTTTCAATATGAATCTATTATGAGGGCTACTTATGGTTTGCATACGAAAGATGATAATACCTAGGTCTATGTTTTATGCCTAGCTAGGGGCGTAAAACAATATCGCTTGTTGGGAGGCAACCCAATTTTTATTACCCATTTTTTATTGTTGTGTTTTTGTTTTTGCTACTATTCTTCAATAAATACACATTATTACCTTTGTAGTAATTGTGTTTTAGTGTTTTAATTAGTGTTTGAGCCAAGTAAGACCTTTGGGATGGTCTATGGTGATGGTTGATTTGGTCTTGCTGAAAAATAGAAACTTTTGCGTTCAGTAGCAGGATTTCTAAAATTCACAGAATCATGATAAAATCCTGATTTTTCTACACAAGATTGATATGCAAATTTCCTAGGTTGTCCTAAGTTTTAGAATTTTTGGAGTTACAGAAGTATACGAAGTTTCCATATTACTACAGACTATTTTGTTTTTGACAGATTTTGTTTTCTATGTGTTGTTGCTTATTTTGATGAATCTATGGGTAGTATGGGGAGTATGAACCAATGAACCATGGAGAGGTTGGAATAAAGTAGATATAACACCAATATAACTTGAGAATGAGTTCACAACAGTACCAAAAGTGGTGATTTATTTTATTATACTAACGGAGCTTACGAGTTTTCTGTTGAGTTTTGTGTTGTGAAGTTGGTAAAGATTTGATGGACAACGGAATAAGGAGGAGAAAGAGCCTAAGCTTGGGGATGTCCAAGGCACCCCAAGGTAATATTCAAGTACAACCAAGCATCTAAGCTTCGGGATGCCCCGGATGGCATCCCCTCTTTCATCTTCGATGCATCGGTGAATTTACTTGAGGCTATATTTTTATTCACCACATGATATGTGTTTTGCTTGGAGCGTCTTGTATGATATGATTCTTTGCTTTTTAGTTTGCCACAATTATATTTGTTGTACACACCTTTTGAGAGGGACACACATTAATCATGAATTTATTAGAATACTCTATGTGCTTCACTTATATCTCTTGAGCTAGGTAGTTTGCTCTAGTGCTTCACTTATATCTTTTTAGAGCACGGTGGTGGCTTTATTTTATAGAAATTGATGAACTCTCATGCTTCACTTGCATTATTTTGAGAGTCTTTAAACAGCATGGTAATTTGTTTAGGTTATGAATTTAGTCCTAATATGATGGGCATCCAAGAGAGATATAATAAAAACTTTCATATAAAGTGCATTGAATACTATGAGAAGTTTGATTCCTTATGATTGTTTTGAGATATAAAGATGTTGATATTAGAGTCATGCTAGTGAGTAATTGCGGATTAGTAGAAATACTTGTGTTAAAGTTGTGATTCCCGTAGCATGCACATATGGTGAACCGTTATGTGATGAAATCAGAGCATGATTTATTATTTGATTGTCATCCTTTGTGTGGAGGTCGGGAGCGCGCGATGCTTAACTCCTACCAACCTCTCCCCTAGGAGCATGCGCGTAGTACTTTGTTTTGATGGCTAATATTTTTTTTGCAATAAGTATATGAGTTCTTTATGACTAATGTTGAGTCCATGGATCACCCTTCCACCATTTCTAGCCTCTCTAGTACCGTGCAACTTTCGCCGGTGCATTAAACCCACTATATACCCTTCCTCAAAACGGCCACCGTACTTACCTATTATGGCATTTCCATGGTCGTTCCGAGATATATTGCCATGCAACTTCCACCGTTCCGTTTACTATGACACATAGCATCATTGTCATATTGCTTTCCATGATCATGTAGTTGGCATAGTATTTGTGGCAAGGCTACCGTTCATATTTTTTATACATTTCACTCTTGATCATAGCACATCCCGGTACACCGCCAGAGGCATTCATATAGAGTCATCTTTTGTTCTAATATCGAGTTGTAATTCTTGAGTTGTAAGTAAATAAAAGTGTGATGATCATCATTATTAGAGCATTGTCCCATGTGAGGAAAGGATCATGGAAGCTATGATTCCCTCACAAGTTGGGATTAGTCTCCGGACTTTATAAAAAATAAAAGAGGCCACAGAAGCCCAAATAAAAAAATAGGCCTAGAAGCCCAAACAAAAAATGAGAGAAATGAGAGAAGGGACAATGCTTATCGTTTTTCCACACTTGTGCTTCAAAGTAGCACCATGATCTTCATTATAGAGAGCCTCCTATTTTGTCACTTTCATATACTAGTGGGAATTTTTCATTATATAACTTGGCTTGTATATTCCAATGATGGGCTTCCTCAATTGCTCTAGGTCTTCGTGAGCAAGCAAGTTGGATGCACAACCACTTAGTTTTTTTTGAGCTTTCATACACTTATAGCTCTAGTGCATCCGTTGCATGGCAATCCCTACTCACTAGCATCGATATCAATTGATGGGCATCTCCATAGCCCATTAATTTTCCTAGTTGATGTGAGACTTTCTCCTTCTTTTTGTCTTCTCCACAACCACCATATTCTATTCCACCTATAGTGCTATATTCATGGCTCACGCTCATGTATTGCGTGAAAGTTGAAAAAGTTTGAGAACGCTAAAAGTATGAAACAATTGCTTGACTAACACCGGGGTTGTGCATGATGAAATACTTTGTGTGATGAAGATGGAGCATAGTCAGACTATATGATTTTGTAGGAATAACTTTCTTTGGCCATGTTATTTTGAGAAGACATGATTTCTTTATTAGTATGCTTGAAGTATTGTTGTTTTTATGTCAATATTAAACTTTTGTTTTGAATCTTATGGATCTGAATATTCATGCCACAATAAAGAAAGTTGCATTGAGAAATAAATTAGGTAGCGTTCCACATCAAAAAAATCTGTTTTTATCATTTACCTACTCGAGGACAAGCAGGAATTAAGCTTGGGAATGCTTGATACGTCTCCAACATATCTATAATTTTTGATTGTTCCATGCTATTATATTATCTATTTTGGATGTCTTATATGCATTAATATGTTATTTTATATTATTTTTGGGACTAACTTATTAACTAAGAGCCTAGAGCCAGTTTCTGTTTTTTCCCTTGTTTTTGAGTTTTACGGAAAAGGATATCAAAAAAGTCCAAATGATATAAAACTTTACGATGATTTTTCTTGGACCAGAAGACACCTACTTGACTTAGAGAGAGGGCCAGAAGAGTCCCGAGAAGGCCACAAGCCTCGAGGGCGTGCCCTAGGGGGGCACCCTGACGGCTTGTGGGCCCCTCTGGTGTCCTCCAACCCTAATTCCACATCTATAAATTCCCAAATATTCCCTAAACATCATAAGAATCCACGAAAATACTTTTTTCCATTGCCGCAAGCCTCTGTTCCCGTGAGATCCCATCTTGTGGACTTTTCCGGCACCCTACCGGAGGGGGATTCGATCACGGAGGGCCTCTACATCAACCTTGTTGCGCTTCCGATGAAGCGTGAGTAGTTTACCATAGACCTATGGGTCCATAGCTAGTAGCTAGATGGCTTCTTCTCTCTCTTTGATCTTCAATACAATGTTCTCCTCGATGTTCTTGGAGATCTATCTGATGTAATACCTTTTGTGGTGTGTTTGTCCAGGTCCGATAAATTGTGGATTTATGATCAGTTTATCTATGAATATTATTTGAGTCTTCTCGGAACTCTTATATGCATGGTTAAGATATCTTTGTATTTCTCTTTGAACTATCAATTTGGTTTGGCCAACTCCAATCTAGTTTGGTTAATATAAACCCCTCGCTATCGGTTTGGTTTGGCCAACTATAGGTGCTTAGTTTTGTGTTCAATCTTGGAGTGTCCTCATCTAGTGACAGAAGGGGTAGCGAGGCACGTATTGTACTGTTGCCATCAAGGATAAAAAGTTGGGTTTATATCATATTGCTTGAGTTTATCCCTCTATATCCTGGCATCTGACTTAAAGCATTACTCTGTTCTTATGAACTTAATACTCTAGATGCATGCTGGATAGAGGTCGATGTTTGGAGCAAGATTGTCAGAATCGCGATTCTGTTATACGATTCTACGGCTTCACGATCCAAAATAACCCCTCTGATTCTATGATTTTAGTTCATAGAATCTACATTTTTACGATCTTGATAGTGAAGATTCTACGATTTGCGATCCTACCATCAGAGCTCCGATCCAATTCAAAATCGCGATTCTGACAACCTTGGTTTGGAGTAATAGTAGTAGATGCAGAATCGTTTCGGTCTACTTGTCATGACATGATGCTTATATTCATGATCATTGCCTTAGATATCGTCATAACTATGCGCTTTTCTATCAATTGATCGATAGTAATTTGTTTACTCGCCATATGTTTTCTTTCAAGAGAGAAGTCTCTGGTGAAACCTATGCCCCCCGGGTCTATTTTCCATCATATATTTTTAGATCTATAAATCAAAAAACCCAAAAATACCTTGCTGCAATTTATTTATATTTACTTTAGTTTGCTCTTTTATTTATCTTTTAAACCTATCTCTATCAGATCTCACTCTTGTTCGTGACCGTGAAGGGATGGACAACCCCTTTCTCGCATTGTGTGCAAGTGTTTATTAGTTTGTGCGGGTGCATATATTGGGGACTTGCTTGTGCCTCCTACTGGATTGATACCTTGGTTCTTAACTGAGAGAAATACTTATCTCTACTTTGCTGCATCACCATTTCCTTTTCAAGGGAAAAATCAACACAAGCTCAAGAAGTAGCAATCCCACGCTCACCGCCTCTCGGTTTCTTTCTCTTTCCGCTGCACCTTCCTCTCCCCTATCCCGTTCCAATTTTCATCCAAAAAATTGCCAGCATTGTCACCTCCTCCTCTGCACTTCATCCCCACTGTACCTCCTCCCCTCCTCTACCTTCTATCCTTGGTTACGATGGGGTAGGCCACCTTCGCCTTCAGTGCGGCCCTCAGAAGTACCTCCTTCCCCAACCCTAGCTATCTTGATCTCAAGCGTGGCGGCAGCAACCGTTGAGGCGGGCCATGCACCACCAAGAGAACCGCAACACCGCTACGCATGTGCCCTCACAAGTGACCCCTGACCATCAGCCAACGCCATCGAGGTCATCAACGCTCCACCTAATGTGTAGCCACACAATAGCAAGGAAGGCGACGAGCACACACGTGGTATGGTAGGTTAGCCTCCGGACTGCAGGACATGAGGACATCGGGCTCAAGGATGATGCAAGCTGGGTGGACGTGCTCCTCGCCCTGCTGGTGGTTCTCTTCCCATGGTCCAAGGCAGCAACACCTATTTCTGACCAACAGCCGACAGTGGACAAGCTCGCAGACATGTTGTGCTCTAGCTTCACGCTGCCCTTCTCCACCTTTCATGGTGCCACTGTTGGCATCGGCTTCGGTTGGGCCCTTACTTCGCCTAGCTGCCACTAACAATTCTACCATGCCTGTTTACCCCGACCGCGTGAAACGTTTTCATTACAAACTGGTAGGTGTTTTTTGGGCACCATGGTATCAAGCTGTTCACGCGGCCGAAGTAGTTCCAAGAAGATGGTATAGGCACAATTTTTATTCAATTTTTTTATGTAATATTAATTGTCTTAATTCAGACTAAATGGATATTAGTTATTAACTATGAGTTCATACGCTAGCCACAAGAATTTACTGGAACCTGACTTGTGTCTTCTCATTTTATTTTTGTGATTTATTTGTAGCAGATATAAGGAGGAACATTCAGCTGAACTGAAGTGACGAGTCGCAAAGAACATCCTGACAACCTTCGATTTCATGTGACGACCCTTCTTCGTTCAGCCATTCACTGCTATCATTTTGGTTTTTTGTTTTTGTATTAAACTCAAATATATTTTTTACATTTCCTTGACTACTTATACCGTATCGGATATATGGAGAGAAAGTTCATATGCTCAGCAGCTATTTAGATCGTTTGCCACATTTTACTTTGCCCTCATTTTATTTGGTTCGGATTACCATGGGCACATCTTGCTTCATTCACTAATACAATTTTCATCTTTGCAGGATGGGATACTATCCATACAATGTGATCTTTAAAATGTGTACTAGTAGAACGCCCGTGCGTTGCTACGGGCTTTTGAAATATTTACTCATCGGAATACCAGTTGGGAATAAATGTTGCCATAAACATTTATCGTAATTCCAGCCGGTTTGCTTTATTTTGAGTGCGTCGTTGTTGTGGGATATCATCACTTGCACATCTTTTTGTTGTATAAAACATGGTGAATTTTTGTCCCCTTCCAATGACGTCGCCCCAAAAACCCTCTGAATGTTTTTTTAACCCCGACATAATCCATCTTCATCTCTCATATTCTACCAAATTAAATATATGTAGAAATATACCTTTTGAGTATTATATCATGTGCAACATACATACAAAGAAGAACAATTATTTGCACGCACCTCTTTTGATTGTGTAAAACTCGTTGAATTCTTAGCCCCCTTCATCATCGTTACATCAGGGTCTTTGTCAGTTGACATCTCCGAAGCACAATCAAATCCATCAGTTTTTATGACCTACAAAGGTATTCTAATATAAACAAAGATTAGAATAATTTTTTTATGATGGTGGTATGGAAAATATATATTCTATGGACAAATGCTAGAAATGAGCAGTTTCTAGTAGATTGAGTGGCATCCCAATTTTAATAATTTTAGGCTCACCTCTAAATCACATGTTGATGGTTATTCTCATGAAAATATCTACTATTTAGGGTATGTGGTATATTGCCCATAAAAAACTATGTTACATTTCTTCACGAGCAAAGAACGGATTTCCCCTTTATACAATGATAGTCGGTCATCTCTAATTTCTTGGATATTTTTAAGTAATTTATTGAGAAAATATTTTATGCTATTCTAAATATATAGTGTACAGGTATAAATAAAGCTTTATTTTTTTGATATTCCCATTATACCCCTCCTATACGACTTGGTGTCCTCTCCCGCACGACCGCACTCTATCCACTCCCTCTCCGCACCACTCACTCTCTTGTTCCCCTTCCTCTCTAGATACATAGACTTCACCGGCGTCACTCACTCTCCTCTCTCCGCCCTCGCCCCCACAACCAACAGAATCGGCGACCTCATATCCCACCCCTCCACCCTTTCATCCCTCCCCTCTTCTCACCAAAATTAGTGAGGGGGGGGGGGGTCGAGAGACCAGACGGTTGCCTGATCCGCCCACAAACCGACAAACAACATCACGCCAAGGTCACCGACGCCGTCATGAAATGACAGGCTTCTTCCACCTCGACAGACTTGCTCACACACCAAGATATGCGAGGGGGGCTTCTACTTCTCCCTCGCTCATCACCCCTTTGGCCAAACCATGGATCAACCTTCCTCTACTCTGACCCATGCCATGGACCGAGCTCATTTCCCTCCTCAATGTCATCTCTTCACCCCTTTCCTCGTGTGGCATGTTGCACCGCTAACCCTCACCTTATCTCCCTCCCTTTCCTCCCATATCGAGACATGCATGTGTTTCTGCTAGGCCGCTTCACCTCACCGCCGCCTTCATCTTCTTATACAATGTCGTATCCGCCGCCTTCTGCCAGCTGTAGAAGAAGCGTGTTCGATTCTTGAACCTACAAAATATAAAATGCCGAGGTCAATAAGTATGATTTTCTCTTGTCCCTAGTACTATATTTTTATACATGCTTATTGCATAACCAACCTGTGTGTCGTAGTGTACTGTGGACTTGCTGAGCTGCTCAACCTTGAGCTTGTCAGTTTGGCAGAGCACGTTCTTCGTCTTAACCTCCATCTGCAGCTCGGCATCGCGGATGGCGACAACCTTGGTGGCCTCAACCTCGGAGACCTTGGCCTGCTAGTCCCAGCCTTCCCCTTCAATCCTTCATGGCAAGGTCGGTCATTGAGGCGGCGTTGTCGGCCTTCCTACTGTTTTCAAACACCCACACCTCCGCCTTGACCTTGGCCTTCTCCTTGAGCGCCTCGCCCTGCTGCCGCACAGAGAGCACCTTGTTCTCGGCGTCCACCTTGGCGGCGTTCTGGCACGTGAGGCCATCCCACTCCACAAACATCCACCTTGGCCCTGCTCGCTGCCTCATGTTGTGTCTTCTCGCTGAGGTAGGAGAAGTACTCATGCCCCGGCACGTCCACCAGCTGCTTCACGATGGCATTGTAGATGAAGAGGCCGAATTGGTCCAGCTCCTTCTGCACGTTGCTGAACACCTCCTGCTTGAACTTTTTGGTGCAGGTGAAGATCTCGTCCATGGTCAGCTGCGCCACCAGCATCCGGGTCTCACCCTCGATCAGCCCTTTAGCCCTTCACCATGTCGTGCCCGTGGCTCCTACCGTACGAGTGCAACAGCACGATCAACTTCACGTGGAGTAGGAGCTTCGCTTCGACGGTGGGCAGGGTTGGACGTACCGCTCATGGCTCAATCGGTGTTTGACACGCTTGGTCCTGGCTTGTTAGAGAAAATGGACGATCTGGTCTGCTAAAATCGGCCTAGAAAATTGTCGGTCCGATCCAGTCTGGTGTTCAACCGGTCCGACCAAGATGACTGAGAAAAAATGTCACTATCGCCGCCATTCGTTCTTAGCGTGCCGACCGGCAGCCCCCGGGTAAACTACCATGTCCCCAAGCTTCCCCTCTCCTTCTTTTCTCTCCTCCCCATCAACCATAGCCTCTCGCCGCCCTGTCGTGCATGCACCACTGACGATCTCAAGTTCTCAACTTGGCGCTGGCAGCGTTCTAGCTATGGGTTTCGCTACCATGGCAGCGACCGTTTTAGCACAGCACACATGCAAGCCATCAACTGGGGAAACGGTCAATTGGGTGTGAACTTCCGATCATGCGAGAATCGCTCAGCCGTGATTTCCACATGAGATTTAATAGCCTCCGCCTATAATCACGCACCATGATCCTACGCTGTCGTTTTCTTTGTTGAAGCATATGTTCAGGTCCACCTTCCGCCACGTGATTCTCTCTCTCCCATTGCTCTCTCCGTAACAACCTTTCCTTATCGTCTGCGTCTTTATCGCGAGTAAAGGATTAGCAAGGTCAGCTCAGGACTTAGTTGGGTTACTGGCCGCACCTGCCTGTGTATATCTTGTATAAATGTATACCTCTATAACTGAATATGACTGCTTTCAGTCGTGTTGGTGTGTTCACTTTCTGCACTTGTATTCAGTCGAACAGGAAATAGGAAGTACAAGAGAAACATGGCTTGATCCGAAAATCACAGCACCATTTGACAACAAACCGAACATCATGTTTTTTTTCATGGTTAATCCGCTAATTATGGCAAGGCCCGAACATAAAAAAACATGGGCTCGTGAAGAAAGCTGCTACGGAAGGTTCATGGCTAACAGCCGTGCACTTTCCGCGGCACATCACCGACCTCATCGCTGGCGCTCCCGCATGTCCACTACCTCGCCACAGCACCCGCACACGCAGCCCACCTTGCTGCTGCCCCAGCACGTTGACGTCGGTGGTGGTTGGCCGGTCCAAATGGTGGCTCGATGAGGGACCGAACCAACCCGGACCGTGTCGCCTTGGTAGCGTCGCCGAGTTCCAGGGTGGTCACCCGGGGACCGATGCTGAAGACAACGGGCAGCACGAAGGGTAGCTTCTTGGAGCTCTACCAATACCCACGCCTTCTTCACCAGCATTAAGTCCTCGATGCCCCAACCGGTGATGGCCAGGTACTACGACGCGTACGCGGCGATGAAGCTCGCCGTTGACTGTTTTGCCCGGCTGTACCATTAGGTTTTCTTTCCTTCTTACCTACGTAGGACATAGGAGTGTTGACCGATCAAAGTAAATAAATAGAACCTGTTAGTACATATAGCAAAAATGCCCGTGCGATGCAATGGACCTATCAAACTTGTTTTACGTGATCTCTGTTGTATGTTCTTTCTCTATTCCAAAATTCCACTCACGCGAGTAAGAAGTATTTCACTGTCTTATGCAAGTAGTTCAGTGCATACATATGCTACTCGTTCGTAATTGCAACCTCAACAGAGTAAAAAAAATCGGTTCGGTGCATGGATGGATTGATGGGAACACACTGTCTAATGAAAAGGATAAGAATCAAATTGGCATGCATAGGTGATTTGAAATTTTAAAAATATAGCATCTACATCTGCGCATCATGAGGAACAATTCCAGAGAAAAAAATTCATCCAGTCAAGTGTATCTTTGGATATTTCATTATCCACTTAGGCCATATTAGTATTACTTCCCACGTGGTGCACATCATCCTGATGCATGGGTGTGCCTCGGCCTTTACATTGCAAATGTTATTATTGCAGGAAGAGCACACATTCATAAGCTAACGGTTTCACAATGCGTTCTTGCTGATAGTAATTGA